GGCCACTCCATGAAGCCCAATAATGGGCTTCTTTCTTTTGTTCAATCCATTACCCTTGTGTGTGACTTTATAGGATCCATTCTATTAGGCTTTGAACTATTTGACTAGCCCAAAGTTCATTTATCATATCTAGCAACAGACAATGATGACCCAAAAGAATGAACTAATTATCTCCATAATAATGACCCATGATATATCTAGTAATTACAGTCGACCAAGACATAAATCTTTCAGGTACACCTATCGGCTATATTAAACAGTTTGGATTGTCAATCTTTTACACAATTCAAAGGTTACAAATTACTTTGATGATTAGTAAACTTGTAAACTAAGAGAAGCTTAGTGTAAAGGAAAGTAGGACTTATTGATTTGTTTTCTAAAATACTCAAATTCCTTTGATTCAAAATGTGCCACTCGCCTGTTATAAAGATGACCTCCCAATTACAATTAAATCTTTCTTCATGTTATGACATATCTTTTTGGGAAAGATCACAATAGACTTAGTCTAATTGATCCTAAGGCCTGAAATCTCTCCAAAATTATCCAAGACCTCCATAATTACATCAATGTTGTTCTTTGAAGCCTTACCAAATAAGAAAATATCATCCGCATAAAAGATATGAGACATATGAATGAAGCAAGTGATTTTAATAGGTTTCAACAAACTTTGCCCTACTTTTTCTTCAATTATCAAATAAAGACATTCCAAACAAAGAACAAAAAATATAGGAAGACATAAGATCACCTTGTCAATTCCCCTAGAAGGTTTAAATACTAGAGTTATTTCACCATTCCAAAGATTTGAAATTTGGGGAGAAATATTGCAGTGTATAATGAGATTGACAAGAATAGGAGGGAAATTAAAACCACGAAGGGTTTCTTCTATATATAAAATTCACTTTCTAAACTATCATAAGCTTTTGTCAAGTCCAACTTTAGAAAATTTGTATTTTACCATCCACATAAACCCATTTTTTGAAATTACCATCCCAAAATTTTTTTATTTTAAAATACAATTCAAAAAAGACCAAAATATTAGATTTCACTACCATTTAACACCTCCGTTAAGAAAACCATTAAATCTAACATTCTAAAAAAAAGTTCAACTTTTGAGCCAAAACATGTTCTTTAGAGGTTTTGGAGATAAATTTTTCCCTTTGGGCCCGATTAAAGGTCAAAATTTACAAAAAATGATTGAAAATGCCTCGTTTTGCATACTAAAAAAATACCTCGATTATATGTTTTAAGTAATTTATTGAAACTTATATAAATATTTGATATAAAGATTACTGTTAGTTAAGACGAACTACTACAAGAGGGGGGTGAATTGTAGTGAGTTCCTAAGTGACTACTTTTCGCGGAAATTAAAACAAATGTAATAGGAACTTGAAAAGCACACAACAATGTTTACGAGGAAACCTTACAGGGCCCAACTGGAAGTAAAACCTCTACCCTCCAAGGGATTTCAAACACCAAACCAATCCACTATAATAGGTCAATACACCTAGTTACAACCTATTAACCACAGACATTTGCTCACAAGTTCGAGACTGAACCTGCTACTCGATGGGACCCTATCCTACCCAACTTAAGTCCCTGACTTAAGTTCCACTCAACACTCGGCTTCACACTAGAAGCCTACTCACTGTATGCAATATAAAATCACTCACCCAGATCCCAAAACAAAACAAACACTTGACTCTAATATATGATTGGAAAACTACACATGAAACCCAAAACTAATATGATAAAGCTCTTAATCATGGCAAACTTACTCTTAAGTATACTCAAGATTTTCACGCATAAAACTCACACCTCGCTCAGAATATGAACTCTTCTACTTTACAAGAGGTGTTCATACGCTAGGTAGGGCTTTTAAGAAAAGATAAACATTAAAAGCTACCGCAACTAAAACCCAATAAGAAATGAATCATTCTATGAAAATCTTTAAGAAAACCGATCAAAGATAGAATTAAGAAAAAGATAAATATTTTATAAACCAGATTTTGTAAGATAAAATCATCCAAAGATCTTTTTTATAAATATTAACTTATCTTTTGCAAAACTTCCGGTTTTATTAGCTTGCCAAGCTTTATCACGCTTCTAATAAGTTTCATGCATGTTAATCTACCACATAATTACAATAATCCTAATAAAAGTAAACTTATCATAAACCTTATTGAAAGTCTTCAAATTTATCATCGGATTGTCTCATCGAGCTCTATAATGCTTATTGGAACTTTGGGTTCTTTGCAGACCAAGATTGAAATCCTCTTGTCTTCTTTTCTTCAACACCTTGTTGGAACTCGCAGTCCAAGGTCCTCTGAAACTTGTGGTCTTCAATGCAGTCCAAGTTAGTCAACTTAGCTTGCTGTCTTGCTCTTGTTAGGAAGCTTTTCTATGTGTTCCTATTAGGGATCATTGTCTAGTTCTAGTGTGAAACTCTTCTTCTATTCTTTCTATCTTTCTCTTGTTTCTCTTAAAAATTTCCACAGTCAGATTACTCTTCCACTCCCAAAGCTAAGTCTACTTCACCTGCACTAGTTCAATACTTAGAGAAATCTCATTAGTTGAAGTTTGCTTTTCTCATCATCATCAATACTACTAAGGTTCAACAATTACAATAACATAAATTTTAAAGTTGATTTTATACGGTGAAAAGAGTTGATACCAAATTTGAAATACTAATATCAACAAATAAAGTTATACGAAGTATTAAAATTATGACAATGTCTAAAAACTTATATAAAATGTTGTATAAAACAATATGAAAGACCCCCCTAGTAGAATGTTGTATAAAACAATATGAAAGAGAGTATACATCAATGTTAAATTTCATCCATAGCTATCACGAATTTGCCAATAATATTATTTGATTCAATTATTTTATAATTTATTTTGTCGCTTTGTTTTATTTTATTTTTGTACAAAACTATATTGTACTCGGTTTTACTTGATAACCCTAAGGAGCAATACATAAAGGTTGTTTGGTTTGTAGATTTTAGGTATGAGCTATGAGGTTAGAATGAGTAAAATCCATTCCTAATATTTGTTTAAGAAAAATCTAATTTCTAAACCCATACCTTAAAACCCATAAGGTGTACATGGAGTTTAGAAATCCAATGGGGAGGTGGGTACAACTTATACCACACATCCACATCTCTAGGTATTAAGTGAAAAGAAAAAGTCCATTCCCGTACAACCATCAAACACAATGTATTAAGAATCAAGTTCCAACACCATACTACCGTAGTTTCATTCATGATTCCAAACTCATACCACATTGTGAACCAAACGCCTCCTAACCCTATTAAGTTATTACTTATGTGGTGATGTAATAACATGTAGTTCCTCGGTTTTTTTTTTATTTTTTTATTCTTTTTTTTATATACTTGCAACCGGGGGTGTTAACGAGTCGAGCTTGCTCGTGAATTGCTCGAGACTCGGCTCGGTCAAAGCTCGGTATAGGTTCGGCTTGAGTGGGCTCGACTTGAGTTCGGGTTCCCAAGCCCGAGCTATATTAGGCTCGGCTTGAAAGCTCGTGATCAAGCTCGAGTTTTGTGTATGTTATTACTATTTTTTTTTTGGAAAATTCAATTAGTAACATAGATTTTATATTAAGGACTTAGGGCTTAGGAACTAAAGTTAATTTTCAAAACTCTAGTTTCCGTTCTCGCTGAGTTGGTGAGTGTTGGATATTTCGTTTCTGTATTTGTTGTTGTTTATGTAGAAAAAGAACTAACAAAAGAAAGAAAAAGAAAATAGTCTCATATCAAAAGATAGGAGCAAGTGATAGAATATTAGAATAATAAAGGCAAAATTTGATTGTTTTTGAAACAATGGCTATAGGAACCATTTGGGCCTTGCTAATTTGTGGCTTGACAACCCTTGATCAAGCCTCGAGCTCTTACCTGAGTCGAGCTCAATTTTTCCAGGCTCGACGAGCTTCGAGCTTGAGCCGAGCCTACCTAGGCTTGGTTTCGGTTCAGCTCATTAACATCCCCACTAGCAACACATTTTTTTCAGTACGCTATTTGAGGAAGTCATTAGATTAAGTTAATGGACAAATTAATTTAGAAAATTTAAGCAATAACTTATCGCTTTCTTCTTATTGATGGTAAATATTGTCAATTAATTTATCCACTTATCTAATTTAATGTGTGTATTAAAGTGGTGTGTTGAAAGTACATAAAAACACAGAAGTACATTATAAGTCCTTAAAGGAGCAATGCATAAACATCTTACCTATGCGGTGATGCAATACCATACACTATTGCAAGCCGCCAACAATGATTTTATGGTAAAAAAAACAGTAGCACCACTTTGTAAAGTAGCATATGGTTCTTATTTGCTAAAAAGCATAACAATGACAACAGAATGTGTGGTGGCATTTGGTAGGTTCGCTCTTAATTTTGTGAATTTGGAGATAGCATTTGGTAGGTTCGCTCTTAATTTTGTGAAAGTTCTGTGCAATTAAGATATAAATGGACTCATTTTGTAATTAATTATTTTAAGATAAACTTAAAAACTTAAAATATAATTAAAATCTAGACATTTATGTACGCGATGTGTTCATCGACGCATGAACATCAAGAGGATAGTATAGCCTCCTCCTTGACTTATATAATAGAAATACATAAGTTTTTAAACTTTACATTATTTTTTTTCTTATTGAGAACATGGTGTAAAAGGAAATTTGATCTTGTAAACCACACTATACCACCCTTGCTCTTCTCTTAGACTGCAACTGACATTGACCTGTTTTGCTTTTGCCCATCGTATAGAAAGTGACCATCTTTTAACCCGACACATTATCAGCCCGCACCAACTCTATCCCAACACATCGATAACCTGTTAGTGATAAGTTTTTCTCTTCAAAATGTTTTAAGTAATATAAGATAGAGAAAATATTGACGACATGGTATATTAGTTGCCTAGTTGGTACCAACTATAAACAAGTATATTCCCTTATGAGCCACATAAAATGTCCACCCTATTTCCCGAATCTATGCTTTATAACATTCCCCCGTTATATTATTCCCATATTAGCCACATAAAATATTCACCCTTTTCCCGAATCTACACTTTATAACGTTCCCTCATTTCAGCAAATCCCTACCACTTCACTCTCCTTTGTCTCCAAATTTTACCAAACTTTTGCTTGAATTTTGGCACAGAAAAATAGAAAATCATGTCTTTAACCATTAAATTGCACATTTCTAATCACTCAAATTTCTTAGCTCAACCCAAAATTCATCAGAACCCCACCAAAATTCTCCCCAAGTATATCTACCAAACAAACCCATTAAGACCCATTGTTCTAAATCAAACCAAAATGTCATCAATTTCTTCCCAATCCAAAAGGGTGATAAAAAATTCTTTAATTGACCCAGATGGTGGTTCTTTGATTGATCTTGTTGTGCCTGAAAATGAGAGAAATTTGAGGGTTTCTGAGGCTGAATCATTGCCTAAAATTAGGTTAACAAAGATTGATTTAGAATGGGTTCATGTTCTAAGTGAAGGTTGGGCTAGTCCCCTTAAAGGGTTTATGAGGGAAAATGAATATTTGCAGAGTTTACATTTCAATTCATTGAGATTGGCAGATGGGTCTTTTGTTAATATGAGTTTGCCCATTGTTTTGGCTATTGATGATAAAGCTAAAGATGATATTGGTTCATCTCCAAATGTTGCTTTGGTTGCCCCTAATGGTGATTTAGTTGCCATTTTGCGAAGGTTCAATTCTTGTTCTTGTTTTCTTTATTGTCTAATAATCGATTTTGTTGCTCGATATTGCTCTGTTTTATTGTTCTTTAATGAATAAATAGTTGTACATTTGAATAGTTTTGACTGATATATGGTGACAATGGATGACAAGATGAAGAGTTTAAATGTTATATTTGATGTTTATATCGTTTTTCCGTTGAATAATATGAATATTGTGTGCTCTTTTATTTGATGAGAATAAAATAATTATATGTTGATAAAGTGATGTTTATATGCAGACAAAATGACAATATTCTATCTGAATTGATAATGTGCTGAAGTCTGAAGAGCTTCCTTTTGGTGATGCATAATAGTGTTAAAACTGTATTTATTACTATAATTGGTATGATTACATTTTTTAATTGTTGAAACGAAAGGCAGGTGTGGAATGTGATGCGTCGTAAGTGCGGATTATGGTGCTTACAAGCATCTATATGTCATAGTATTTGGGAGTGAGTGGGAGGATTTTTAGGATGTTATCAAGGAGTCTTTTTTAACCCCTAGAGACAAGAGTTTGTTAACCCGAATTTTATAATCTAAGATGACCTATATTGGAAAGTGATGGTTCATGGTTGTAATGTAGTATTTTCAAAAATCATTTCTAGAGGTGATAGTATATGATTTTATTAAAGGTCTAATATTTTGTGAAAAGACCTTTAATCTTGCTAGAGAAATTTTGGATCATGTATTAGCATTCATTGTCCTTTACTTCTTTGGATAATCCGTATAGATCATCTTCTCATAATCTTTTCCTTCTAGGTGGTTTATGCAAAAAAAAAAAATGGCTTATTTGATTCATGAATATTAGCCACATATTTTTGGCCTTTTCTTTCTAGCTTGTTGATGTGGTCAACAACATTAAAATAAAAAAATATGATGAATGACTTTTTGTTCACAATAGGTGACATTCAACTGAAAATGGAAAAGCTGAGAGAACCTTTTCAACTGTTTTTCCCATAATATAGATAATTTTTTTTCCATGAAATTCTTACTTACAACTAAACACTAGTTACTGATATTAACAAACATCTTTGCAACACCTGATGTTCCCACTTGATTAAAATAATCAACTCAATTATTTAAAATGGAGTATTAAATAATCAACTCAATTACTGCTTAAAGGAGCCAGCTAAACCAGCCAACACCTAACAACTAACATAAGTTTGCAAAACACACCATATCATGGTAGCTGATTCCATACTCCCATGTTTTCATCTGTATATGTTAGTGTTTGCCTATCAATTGAAATGCTTTATAATCTAACTCCTGTAGTTTTTTGTTAGTCAGTTTGTGCATGAGTGTTTATAGTTCCCATGAATACTCATCTTTAATTTAGATAATTCTCTGTCTGTCTGAGTTTTGGAATTGCCCTCTTGTTCTTCATCTCTGCCACTTTTCTTTCTCCTTCATGTTGCTGTCTTGGGGCTCTTTTACTTTTAATGTCTTGGATAGGAATTTACAATGCACTAGAGCATCCTTGCTGTCTTATTGACAGTCCTTTACCTCCTGCAGCCGGGGTTCCTTGAACATTGTGAAATCTCTCATTGTATAAGCCTTAACCCTTTCCTTCTTATTACTATACTAGTATATATGTAGTGATATTAAGTACCCTCTACAAGAGTTAAGCGGTAGTGGGTCGGTTGTTTCTGCATATATGTAGTCCTTATTAGCCCTTGGGGAATGTTAAGAGATACGAATAGTCAATAAATGTAAATAAAAAAGGTGGTAAGTTAACAAAAATGTTCATCTAATCTTGATCTTTTCTTTCTACTCAGTTGACTTATATACTGCAAAGGAGGATTATTTATTTCTTGACTTCAGTATGTATTTACACCTAGAATTTTATGAGCTTGGCTTCTGTTTTGGTACTCTGGGAAAATTAAATTTGCTTTTCAGAAATGAGTGAAAAATGGTTTGGAATCTGAAGACTCACTCTCTATTAGTCTTTAAAAGTATTGAGATGCTATTTAAGCCCAACCTTTTTACTAATAAGTGGCTTTTCAAATAACGCTTCTCAAATGTGAAATGACCGACGGAGGATATAAGGCAAGGTGCAGAGTTACTTACAGAGGTTACAATAATTTTAAAGCAATATGATTAGCTGGTCAGAATCAATGAAACACTAAAAGCTATCTCATAGCCAAACAAGGCCTTTTTGTGCCTTTGACCCCAAATTTTATTGCATAAATTAGTGGTTTTCTATCAAACACATGTTTGTGATCCTAAACTTGCTTTTTTGTTGCTCAGACACATAATTAGCAGTCTTTTAGTTGTCGACAGGCTGTAATCCAGTTTTTCTTAAATTTGATGTCCTCTTTTCTTCATAAATTTTTCTCTCAATTGAATTAAATTTATGAAGGAGGAATATTTATTGCTTCATATAAGTATGTTGTACACTGAGATTATTTACGAGGTTGGTTTCTGTTTTGTTTTACTTTGCATGGAAAAAATACTTTTTTTTGTTCTAGATACAGAGCGAAAAACTGTTTAAAAGAAGACATTCTTTCAAATCATTGTTATTATGAAATCAGCAAAAGTTGTTTTCTAGTATTTCTAACAATATAGAGCTGATAGAGTTGTCATATTCACACCCTTTCTCAAGCAAGATCCAACTGTCGGTCATACTAACATCACATATTTATGTTGCATCAGCCATTGTATTGTTTCAAAATCCAATCTTTTTACCCCATCATGAATTATTGATTGATTATTTTTCAAAGGACTTTACAATGTGTATGTCTCCTCTTATTTGCAATAATCTGGTGTATCAACTTTTGCGATTACTCAGTTATTAAGTGTTTGCTTTGCTTTGTTATGCAGTATTGAGATATACAAACATAATAAAGAGGAAAGAATAGCTAGAACATGGGGAACTACTGCTCCTGGATTGCCTTATGCTGAAGAGGTTATTACACCTGCTGGAAATTGGCTCATAGGAGGAGAATTGGAAGTATTGAAAGAAATCAAATACAATGATGGTCTCGATCAATACAGGATTTCTCCTAAAGAGCTTCGAAAGGAGTTTGACAGGCGTGAAGCTGATGCAGTTTTCGCTTTCCAGCTTAGAAATCCAGTTCATAATGGGCATGCTTTGCTGATGAATGATACACGTCAGAGGTTACTGGACATGGGCTATAAGAATCCTATTCTCTTGCTACATCCTTTGGGAGGTTTCACCAAGGCTGATGATGTGCCCTTGGATGTTCGGATGGAGCAACATAGCAAGGTAATATATCTGTTGATCTATATTGGTCAGTAGGATAGATTAGCCTCAATTGTGTCTTAGCATGCACCATTACTCATTATGCTTGGATATTCTCTTCCTCATCTTTTCCCCTTGGATTAGTATGAAAATGATTGATTCCATTTTTCATTAAGGCCATATTGATATGATGTTTTCTCCATATCATGCAATGAACAAATGTTTGTATGCAAGACTTTGCTATATTTTATTAGCATGTAATTCAGACTTAGTTTGTGCAGTGGACATATGTTGTGACATCTGTTGGCTGGTGGTTTCCTGCCATTGTAATATATTCAAATTAGCTCACTATCATTCATTTTTATTAGGTTCTAGAAGATGGAGTTCTTGATCCGGAGACTACTGTTGTGGCCATATTCCCATCTCCCATGCATTATGCTGGTCCAACTGAAGTACAGTGGCATGCCAAAGCTCGAATTAATGCTGGTGCTAATTTTTACATTGTTGGTCGTGATCCTGCCGGTATGGGTCATCCAACAGAGAAAAGAGATCTCTATGATCCTGACCATGGAAAGAAAGTTTTGAGCATGGCACCTGGGTTGGAGAAGTTGAACATTCTACCATTTAGGGTGGGTCATAACTTGCTTCTTTCTTTAAGATTTTTTTTCGCCTTTCTAAATTAATTTGCGGTCTTAAATTTGTTTTGATGGGTTCTGGAGTGTGCTTGAATGCTTGATTTAAGTTCTGATAAACAATGTGAAATGGAGCATATGTCTTGAACAACAATACCCTACAAGATTGTTTATCTACCATGGGTATCATCCACCTTTATGGAATTGTGTTGGTAATCTCAAGGATATGCTTCATAGTTGTTCCTTGCAACAAAAAACATGAATAAATGTCATGTCTGTTGTTGGCTTGACTAAATAAGAGAATTGGCCTTTTGGACTTTGAAGTTTTTACCTGATTTGATGACACCTGGGCATGCGTATCACTGTTTTTATTGTCTTACAGGCCCATGTCTTCTGATTTTTGTTGGTCCAGTTTTGAATTATGTCATATACTCTTTAATTCTTGTGTTTTATCCAATTTGTGACACCTGGACATGTTATTTGTTATAAATATCTGTTCTTTCCCAGGCCTATAGCTTTTCTGTAAAAAATTTCAACTGTTGCTGCTGTACTGAACCATACATTGTCTTGCAGGTTGCAGCATATGATACTATGGCAAAGAAGATGTCTTTCTTTGATCCTTCTCGTGCTAAAGATTTCCTCTTCATTTCTGGAACCAAGGTAATGTGTTCGACGTCTTTTTGGTGTGTATCCCATACTTAAATCAGTATGAGTGAAGGAGTTTCTTTGTCCAGAACTGTGGTAATAACTCATGTAATGCATTACATCTTATGCTCGATTTTAGCTAATGGAAATGACATTAAAGAAACTTCAGATTTACACGGTCTGGAGTGCTAGAAGCTTCATCTGATTCAGTGCAATAGATTTCAAGTGGCAGTGGACTCGTAGAAGTGGGTTGCGACCATATAGATTGGAGTGTAGTAAAGCCCTAAACCCATATAACAACTAGATATAGTATTGTTTTGTTTTTACAAGGGTCCTAAGCCTTCAAAAGATAAATAGTCCACCACCCAAGTGCTAGAGAACAAATTATCCTCACCAAATCTATGAATTAATTTTAATGTAACATATCATGCTCATCTCTGCTTTCAATGTTTGGTGCATTGTAGTCCTAGCTCTTCTGTTAACTAATCTAACCTGGGTGATGTTGCAGATGCGTTCTTTTGCAAGAACTGGAGAGAACCCTCCTGATGGCTTTATGTGCCCCGGAGGATGGAAGGTATTGGTCAATTATTACGCAAGTCTACAAGAGGTAGAGAGTAAGCAGCCAGCTACAGTGTCTGCATAGAGCAGATGGCTAGATGCACAAGTTTCTACTGTAATGTAGGTCAATATAAGTGATTATGAGGCTCTGAACACACAAGGCTACAAGATGATTAAGCTAGCATAGGACTATCAGAATTCCTTCCGTCAGGCATCAACGAGTATCACACATCAACTCTTTGGGGTTTGCCCCCGGCGTTTTTCTCTTGTTTTCCTTAATTGGTGACCCTGCCTCTTTTCATTTTCTGGTTTAGAGTTTTTGTTGGGGTCTTAACTTTTTTTCCCTAGTTGAACAAATGATGATTGATAATTGATTCCGGATTCTTTACTTGTTCTTTTACCTCTACATCTAAGGAATTTTTTATTGGTATTGTTGAGTTAAAAAAACCTAATGTTTACCCGTATTATCCCAAGTTTATAAGTTAACATTTGCTACGGCAATCCCCGTCACTAATATTAGAGGCTTCTATTAGTGTTCTAGATACAAATAAAGCATAACAATCAATAATCATATTTACAAAGCTGGGGAGTAACAATACAATGGAACTATTACAATTTCTATTGCTATTATTCACTTGAATTTGAATTTCTACTAGGCTTGCGCAAAACTATCTGAAAATCCGATTTGCAACCGTTCCAAATTTTTGGATATTCGATCCGAGTTTTCATTTCGAATCAGATATCCGATCCGAAAAAGCGAATATCGGATGCGGATTTGGATATTGATTTTCGAAATTTCGGATATCCGTTGGATATCCGATTTCCGAAATATAAAGGCTGAAATAGTGAAATATATATAAATTTTTTAAATTGTTGATATAAAACTAACCCTGTATTATTAACTTATTATAACATTCCTAATATATTTGATGATAATTTTTATTGCAAAAAGACTACTATTTTGTTAAAATATGTTGTACAACTTAGCAATAAAAAAGCGGTAAAATTAGTGAAATTTAGAAAGTAATCACAATCAATTTTACTTAATATTGGATAATGGATATCCGAAAAATCCGATCCGAAAATTTTGGATATCCGAATATCGGATATTCAAAATTTTCGAAATGGATTTGAATATCAGTTTATGATATCCGAGTTTTCGGATATCCGATCCAAAATTTGATTTTGAATAGACCTTATTTCTACTCTTTTTACAATAAACCAACCACGCATTGGGTGAGGCAGCTAGGTCGAGCTTGTGGTGTATGGATGTCATGGGTCTATGTTTCTTTCGTATTCTAGCTTGCTTATACTAACCATTACTTTTATGATCTTCCACAAATGTTATTGCTTGATTCTTGGCTCAATATTAGGAATGTGCAAAGTGCGGTCTAGATCGCACCAAATCGCAATTTTGCGGTTTGGTGCGGTTTGCGGTTTGAAAATTGCGGTACGGTTTTCAAATTTGATCAAACCGCGGTTTTGCGGTTTGGTGCGGTTTTAAAAAAATTTCAAACCAAACCAAACCGCAAACCGCAATTTAATGCGGTTTGCGGTTTAAACTGTAAACCGTAAAATCGATTTTATAATATATATTATTATAAACAAATATTAAAATAAAAGATCTTAAAATTTCTTAGGGTTACTGATTTTATTATAAACAAGTGTTTATGTTGTGTGTTAGATATTAAATATTATTAGTTTATTTTGATGTTGGATGTAAGTAGGACTTTTTGACTTTACTAGAATTGTTAATCACTTTTGAAGGTGGACAGGTTCTGTTTCTTCTTAGAGACTTAGAGTCAATATGACATAATATTTAGTATAAGTTAATTAAGAATTAAAAAAATGAGTTTTAATATTTGCATATTAACTTCATAATCACAAAATAAAACTACTTTTTTTAATCATTATTTGTGAGGTAAAAAAATTGTGGAAAAATCGCAAATCGCACCGCACCAAACCGTATTTTGCGGTGCGGTTTGGTGCGGTTTGTATAAAATTTCGGTTTGGTGCGGTTTGAAAAAATCATAAACTGCAATTTTGCGATTTGAGATCTAAACCGCACCGTGTACAACTCTACTCAATTTACTAGTTATGGTTGTGACTAGTTGAGGCCAAGGCACACAGACCCAACATGAAGCATGACTACAACCATCTTTAAAGAAAGGAAAAATCTTGCATGGACATGGTCCACAATAATATTATATTGAAAATAGTGATCCTAATTTTAACATAGTAACCTTATTTTTAACACAGTAACCTTTATTAAAACTTGTGTAACCTTTAATATTATTGTGAACTTTAAGTACAACGTTACGTTGAACATGGTGACTGTTTCAGAGGTTTTAATGTGTCCTGCGGGAGTGTTACTTCACTAAGACTGGATCCTCGTCGCTTGTACCTGCAAGCAAATGGAAGCTCCGGTTGTTCGGAGTTCCGTATCTAACGATCAAGTTAGTATGTGTCGAAGTAGAGTAAAATGCGGAAAGTAAAGTTAATCTTCTCGGATACCGATATCAGGTGATTTCTCTGTTGTAAGAGAATAGTAACTGATGTAATAAATGAATGTGTTCCAAAAATGAGGTAAATGTCCCTATATGTAGGGCATTGGGAATAGTTCCTTTACGTAGGTCACTTAGACCTAGATTTGGTAGGCTATGCAGTTTTTCGGCGCTTCGGGAATTGGGCCCTTGAAAGGCCGCCATTTTCCTTCAATATCAGCGTGCCACGTGTCTTATCCTAAATTGGCCTGTTTTGGGCATTTCCTAAGGTGACACATGTCACGTTCTGGTTGGTCCACGTGGCTTGGGTATTTTTACCTAATCATTTGCCCCTCACAGGGGTGATGTGGCATGCCACGTGGCGCCCGTGACATTTGTCATACATGCATTGGTGACAAGTATTTTTACTGTTCACCTTTTGGGGAAATTACAGGGATGCCCCTGAAATTTTACCACTCTATAAATAAGTTTTACCCCCCTCATTTTCATACGTTCACGAAAAATCTTCGAGATAATTTGACTTTTTGAGAGAAAAACTTCAGCCGCTTGTATTTGCCTACCTGCATTACAGTCGTCACAAGCTTCAACATACCAACAATACCTTTCTTCAAGGTAACCACCTGTTTCTTTAATTTTCTCGCTATATTTACCGTTTGTGTTTGTTATTCTTCTTATTCAAAAATGGTTTCACAAACACACACGGCACAACCTAGGATAGCTGACAGCAGGTCACCCGGCATGGTTGAATCTAGGACTAGGAGTGCCGCTTGCCCCTCCTTGGATTCCCCACTTCGAACATCCCCGAATATGACCGTCTCTGTGTCTGTGCAGGACACTATGGCTCAAACAAAGAGAACAACTCAAGGCCCCATAAATAGTGACGAGGATGACGACACCATTGAAGTGCCAAGAAATTAGGTCTTTGATTATCCACCCGGCCCTCCAAGTACGCCGAGTGACTCTATTTTGGATGAGTCGGACAAGGGGTCTGAGAATAATGCATCCGGCTCTGAACAAGGGTCATCTTAGTGGGATGCTGCTCCAGGAAGTTCTGAGGCTGGATTAGAGCCGTCTGTGTCGAACGGGGAGTTTGAGAGCTCCAAGGCCTAAACTGGGCCGTCTGAGTCAGAGGAGGAGGAGGCCACCTCTGTTGATAGAGGAGAAGGAGGAGGAGGCCACCTCTGTTGATAGAGGATGAGGAGGAGGAGGCCGCCTACTTCACCCATATTACCGCAACCACACAGAAGTCCATGATTCAAAAATTAGACAAATTTCGTGACCAATATGTCATGGGGGTTGGTTACGAAATCCATGTCCTTGACTTAGATGATACGGTTGTATGGTCGTTAAGGTCTAACTATGGGGACCAATGCTTCGACAGCTATGAAGCGGCCATTCAAGCAGGCATTAGATTCCCTCTCCATCTGGCCGTGGAGAAGATTCTTAATGGGTACCGCCTGGGTATCTGGCAACTTGCCCCCAACTCTTAGGTGAATATACTCGGGTATGTTGGTGCTTGCCTAGTTTTGAAGCCTTCGCCAAGATGCATTATTTGAGCAAGGCTCCAAAGGCACACGACACCGGTTGGTATACCTTGACCAACCACAAAGGATACATGATGGCGGTTGGCAAGGAATCCAAGTGGAAAGATTGGCGAAAGAGATTTTACATTGTTTCTTCGCCGGATGCCAAGAGGAATCGGAAGTTCAATTCTTGGAACCAAAGGCCCTATCTTCTAGGGAAAAAAGCAATTTTGCCGCCTGTCACTGAAAATGGTTAGGACCAAATCCTTGACCTTGGCTTCTTCAAAGTTACCATAGAAACCGTTGAGAGGAAGAAGTAATCCCCCATAGTTACATCCTTATGTTTAAGTGTTTGTTAGACGGTACATATTTGGCCGCCTAAGGCTTGAGTTCTGAGAAATCTAGAGGTAGATTGCCGGACGTAAACTTTTATCTTGACAATTTGTCTATATATATATATTGGACGCAGATAATCAGCTCGATCATGTAAGTTCTTCCACCCTTGGGTGTTTTCTTTGCATATACAAGCTGCCTACTTCGCCTGATGCTAACAAGTGACTTTCTTTGTGCAGGAGGGGCCTATCCATCCGCCTATGCCCCCTCAGTTTGGCCAGAAGCCTCAGAAGAAGACGGCCCATAAAGACCGGACGCCCACGAAGTCAAAGAAAATTGTGGCGTACCGAAACCCGTCTGGGGGTGATTCCCATTCATCCACAGGTGGCAAGTCACCAGCCTCGCTTGAGGCATTAAAGAAGATGGACAATGAAAAGGTGTCAAAGAGTGGCAAGCCACTCACCGCTGCTACCAGCTCAGTAACTACAGGTGGGCTCAATGATAGGCGCCTAAAAGAAAGAGAGGTGGACCCTCCCTAAAGGTATTACAACCACTAATCCTTTGCCCTACCCTTGTAGGGTAAAGTCCGATCAATAGTCGGACAGCAGCTCTGAAGAGTCCTCGTCTAGGAGTCAAGCTTATATCAAGTACTTACGAGGTGTTGAATGTGCAGATGTTAGCCAAGGGCCGGATGTGCTACAGATGGCAAAAAATATGCTGAAGGTTGTCTCCCTAGCTGAAAAGGATCTGCGAGGGGGGTTGGAACCCTTAATTTCAATGCCATCCTCACTCTTCTTGGTGAGGCAGACTGATTTGAGTTGGTAGATTTTCTAACTTATATGCCGACTGTTATAAACAGAATGATTTTGCTGGTTGCAGGCAATGTTGCGGGTGAATGGGCTCAAGAAGCCATTCTCTAATGAATGGGTTGCCTCTGCCCTTGAAATAGCCATGTTTGATACCATAAAAAATGATGTACTGACCCGTGATATCTAGCATTCACAGGCGACGACCAATCTGTAGGTCAATGCCAATTTGGAGGTGGCCTAGAAGAGAGTGGTTGAGTTGGAGGCTGAGCTCAAGACGG